GTAGGAAGAGGGATGCAGGGGGTGCAGAGGTGAGAAGAGTAGGAAGAGGGATGCAGGGGGTGCAGAGGTGAGAAGAGTAGGAAGAGGGATGCCGGGGGTGCAGAGGTGAGAAGAGTAGGAAGAGGGATGCAGGGGGTGCAGAGGTGAGAAGTGTAGGAAGAGGGATGCAGGGGGTGCAGAGGTGAGAAGAGTAGGAAGAGGGATGCCGGGGGTGCAGAGGTGAGCAGTGTAGGAAGAGGGATGCAGGGGGTGCAGAGGTGAGAAGTGTAGGAAGAGGGATGCAGGGGGTGCAGAGGTGAGAAGTGTAGGAAGAGGGATGCCGGGGGTGCAGAGGTGAGAAGTGTAGGAAGAGGGATGGAGGGGGTGCAGAGGTGAGAAGTGTAGGAAGAGGGATGCAGAGGTGAGCAGTGAAGGAAGAGTGCAATGCTGATGATTAGTGTGGGGGGAAGGGGGGCCCTGTCAGGTAGGGTGTACGGGGCCCCAAGATTTCTAGTTGTGGCCCTCTATATTCCAGTATCACCTCTGGTAAATTCACAATAAAAACCACAGAAAAGAAGAAGAAAACCCCGCCCCCTATGCGGCACGAGAATTAAAATAAATCTCTCGGCGCCCGAACGGCGCATTACCGGCATTTCATCTCCAACGCTCTTTTCCCGCCATTTTATAAAACTCTACAAACGTTACTTCATTAAACTCACTCACTGTTCTCTTCCGGGAACACTCGGTAATCCAAGGCACGCTGAGGTTCCCTGATATCTGCGGAGACACGAGGGGAGAAGGGGCGTCAGACCCAACCGTCACTGGAAACAACATCTATGCAAATAGCAGGAAAGTTGGTGGCGGGTGCGGAGTGTGACCCGGCGGAATGTTACACCCAACATCCCCCCCTTCCCCCCAAACCATCCCCATTTATAAAGGCAGTCCATTTATAATTGAAACCCATTTTTAAAGGCAACCCATTGATAATGAAAGAAGTTCTTTAATGCACTGCAACAGAAGACTTTCGTTACCATCATTCTTGGTAAGATCTATTTTCTCCTTTTGCCCTCCTTCTTTTCTCTCCCTCCTGTTTTATGTTTACACCCCCCAACCTCCAATCAAACAGCCCAATACACCGATTAGAAACACATGTCTGAGGTCGTGTTTTACCTGCTATTTTCTTCTAATGAGCAAGGAACCCAAAGTCAACATTTCCCTTCCCGTGACCAGCACCAAGCTATCCTGACAATCCCGCCCTAGTTATTGCATCGTTCACAGGTAGGTCAGAAGGTGTGACCTTTAACCTGCATATGACATCAGTTAAAAAAAAACAACAACTAATAAAATGGGGGGAACTTATCAAATCTGGAGCAATGGTAACCCATGGCAACCAATCAGCTTCTCTCTTCAGTTTGCCCAGCTGAGATTTGAAAATGAAAGAGAGAGAAGCTGATTGGTTGCTCCAGATTCTGTCTGCTCCATGTTTGATAAATTCCCCCCCCCCAGTGTGTTCCTATTTAACCCCTTATTAACCTTAGTGAACTCTACTCATCCCTTAAAGGAGAACTATGGGGTCAGGGCTTTTTTCTCATAGTTCTCCTTAGGGTAACGGGAGGATACAAACTAGCATCCTCCCATCACCCTAGGCTCAGTATATAGGGAGCTACAGCTCCCTATATACTGAGACCGCCGCAGCTGAAGCGGATCCCGACAATTATGTTGGGATCCGCCCAGCTGCGTGAGTGACAGCTGGCTCCTCCTATCTAGAGGCAGAGCCAGCTGTATCCGCCCCCTCCCCCGTCCGTTCCGCCAGTCAGCGCTGGAGGATCGGAGCGGGGGGAATCCAGCCCCTCCCCCCCCTCATAGTTCTCCTTTAACTCCTCCCTCCCCTTCGTTATTCTATTTTTGTTTTTATTTGCGTCGTTTATGTTTTAGCGTCCGCACACGAGGCCCCTCACCTGGTAGTTGTTTTGGTTGGGTAGGAGCCCCCCCTGCGGAGGGTGTATATTGTAGTGCCGGTGCGCGCTGCTTCGGGAGGTGTTCCCCGCCGGGTACTGGGCGCTGTTGTGCGCTGAGGTATTGAGCGGCCTGTAATAATCGTTGTTGTGATAGGCCGCGTTCTCTGGCGCCTCCCTGGCGTTGGTCGGAAGTATTTTAGCGCTTCCCGCCCCCCGCACGGAGGCCGGCGACGCCGCGCAGGGATTCTCCGCGCGCGGCGAGCTGTTGCACTCCCTGAACCTGGAGCACAGCTGGTTCTGCGCCGCCAGGGACGCCAGTTCTTCTTCCCGCGTGTATTCGTCAACGTCTCCTGTTTCCATAGCGATGGAGAAGCAGTTAGATTCCATTGGCCGCAGCCTCTCCCCCGCCCCGGCGCTGAGAGTCCTGGAAGGGTGGTCGGTGGGCGCTAAAGAAAACACTTCCCTGATTTCCAGGTTCTTCAGACCGTAGGAGGAGTCTCTGTTGCGTTGCGCAGAGGAGAGATGGTGCACCGGGCTGACGCTTGGCTGTTCGGGCTTGTGTTGCCTCAGACCACCAGGAAGATCTGTGACGGCCTTCAAGGGCCATGACATTGCCTTCTGATTGGCCACCCTGTCCATGATTTGACCAGAAGAGCCACCAAAGTTTTTCTTGGCATACAACGGGTTTGAAGGACTTGCCCCGCTGGGCTGACGAGACAACATCAAGGCTTTGTCATCCATGGAGTTCTTCGCCAAGGAACCTTGTCTCTGAGGAGGGCCCTGAAGTTTGAGGAACTCGGCCTCGTTCCTCGCCGGTGGCCTCTGCATTGTTGGCTTCAGTAGATCGGTTTTGGGCGTGGTGGTCTGCGGACTGATCCCCGATCGGGACGATGAGCTGTTGGGGCTGTACACACAGGTCATAATCAAGTCGTTGCTAGAGGAGGTCCGAGGGGGTTGACTACGGGGCAGATTTGGCACGTTCCTGACCGGCCCGTCCGGAGGGCGTGATGGAGAACTTGGCACCGATGCTTGTAGCTGGGAGTTTGGCTCGGCGTAGCTTTTGCTACTCATCTTCCGTCGTTTGTTTCCAACCCAGGTCTGTGGAGATGACAAACAAGAACAATATTACGGGGCTCTGCGAGAAGTGACGGTTCACAGATTTATGGCAGCGTTTCTCAACCTCCCTTCAGTCACGGGACCCTTAAATAGCATGTCAAATCTTGAGGCACCCCAGTCTAAAATGTAAGGAGGGACCCCACACAAAAACACATGAAAAAGGGGGTTCCGTCCTTTGCATCAAAGTCCTCCCTTCAAATCAAGAGCCCCCTTGATATCAGAAGTCTCCCTTTCACATTGGCGTCCCCTTTTACATCAGTAGCCCCGCCCCCTTCACATTACAAGCCCCCTCCTTTTACATCAGCGTTTCCCTCCCCCAAAAGCTCCCCTTTACATTAAAAGCCCTCTTTACATCAGGACCCCCCCTTCACATCAGGAGCCCCCCTTCATCAGAGCCCCCCTTCATATTGGAATCCCCCCTTTTACATCAGAAGATTTTGGGGGCCACCCTGAGGAAGCCAGAAGGCACCCTGGCCGAGCAATGATGTGCTAACACAAATCTATGCGGCAGGTTGAAGTACACGCAGACCACCCGGGACACACCGCGTGTTCCTGTCCCTGAATCTGCAGCGCGTTGGCTGCACCCCCATTCACATCAGTCTCACCATCACAAAAATGTGAGGTGCCCCTGAGGAAGCCAGAAGGCACCCCAGTGTGCCATGGCACCCTAGTTGGGAAAGGCTGGTCTAAGGTATCTAAGGTTTAGGTCACCCAAATTCCTCTGGCCTCCTACCAGCCCATAAATGCCTCACATTGACTTTACCCCCGTACCACTCTGAGGGCCATTCTGGGCCGTGCTACTTAAAGGGGACCTGCACTCATTAAAGCAGACAGTGTCTGAAATACTTACCATTCCTGAAGAAACTGCCTCCACCCCCGTTTCCCTTAGGCACAAGGTCACATGATCTCATTCAAGGGGAGGATTGGCCAGTCTGAACTCTGATCCGTTCTAGGTTTCATCTAACGTCCTACCGAGACTTTGGGCACACCTCTAGGTTTGCATTTGAGGACAGGTACTCTTTAAACTGGA